GCCTAGATGGACACCTCATATTCCCTCGTCTCCTGCAAAGAAAACAGACTGCGAGGGGTTGGACGCTGGGTGGTGGGACAGGGTGCCCGGGACAGGGACGGGGCGTCTCCCACCCTCGATGGCCCCGGGGACCAGTCCCAAACCACAGATGGCCCTGGGGATGCATGTCCCAGCCCATGCGTGGTCCCTGGGTGGATATCCCAGGTGATGTGTGGTCCGTGGATGGATGTCCCATCCCATGTGTAGTCCTTGGATGCATGTCCCATGTGGACGTCACAGGTGATGTGTGGTCCGTGGATGGATGTCCCATCCCACATGTGGTCCCTGGATGGACGTCCCAGGTGACACGTAGTCCCTAGATGGATGTCCCATCCCACGTGTAGTCCCTGGATGAATGTCCCACACCATGTGTGGTCCCTGGATAGATGTCCCATCCCATGTGTGGTCCCTGGATGGATGTCCCATCCCATGTGTAGTCCTTGGATGCATGTCCCATGTGGACGTCACAGGTGATGTGTGGTCCGTGGATGGATGTCCCATCCCACATGTGGTCCCTGGATGGACGTCCCAGGTGACATGTGGTCCCTAGATGGATGTCCCATCCCACGTGTAGTCCCTGGATGAATGTCCCATCCCATGTGTGGTCCCTGGATAGATGTCCCATCCCACGTGTGGTCCCTGGATGGATGTCCCATCCCATGTGTGGTCCCTGGATGGATGTCCCATCCCACGTGTGGTCCCTGGGTGGACGTCCCAGGTGATGTGTGGTCCCTGGATGGATGTCCCTTCCCACATGAGGTCCCTGGATGGATGTCCATCCCGTGCATGGTCCCTGGATCAATATCCCAGATGGTGTGTGGTCCCTGAGTGGTTGTCCCAGCCCATACATGGTCCCTGGGTGGTTGTCCCAGCTGATGTGTTGTCCCTAGATGGATATTGCACCACATGTGCGGTCCCTGGATGGGTGTCCTATCTAATGCATGGTCCCTGGCATAGATGTCCCAACTGATGTGTGGTCTCTGGATGCACGTCCCATCCTGTGCGTGCTCCCTGGATAGATGTCCATCCCATGAATGGTCCCTGGATGGATGTCTCATCCTGTGCATGGGCCCTGCATTCATGTTCCATCTCATGTGTAGTCCCTGGACGGATGTCCATCCTGTGTGTGGTCCCTGGATGCACGTCCCATCCCATGCATGGTCCCTGGCATGTATGACTGCATCTCACGTGTGTCCCACCCCACGCACAGCCCCTGATACACATGGCCCGTATGATGCAGAGTCCCTGGGGTGCCCAGCCCTGGCCAGGGGCCGCGGGGGTCAGTACTTACTCCGGTCTCGTAGGTGGGGTTGTCGAAAGCCGACTCCACGGTGATGTGGTCGTAGGGGTGGGAGCCGGCAAGGGGCAGCTGCAGGGCTGGCTTCCCCTGGAGCCTGCGGGGAGAGGGCAGCTGGGCCGGGTGGTGGGGGGCCGTGGGGACCCCAGGGGGGATGTGGGCCACCCAGCCACTCACCTGGAGGAGTAGAGGTAAATGCCCCCGATGAGCAGGGCCACCAC